AACAAACATTTAGAAAAATTGCAACCACAGTTGTATTAAGATGAAAATTTGTCATCATCAGGGTTGCAATGACATCGGAGTTATCATAGCAACGAAATAACTCCATGATTCTCTGCACGGGAACCTTACAAAATCGTTCACAGGAGCTTTTTTCTCCAATACGGTCGCCTCGATGTTCGTGAAGTTTGAGCAAAACCTTAAGAGCGTTTTCGAGATATTTTGGAATGAAGTTTTTATTATTAGAAATACGGAAAGAAAAGGAAAATCTTGATTTTTGGCCGTTATCTGTAGAAAACGAAGCGCTTTTGACCTGCAATTTCACCTCATAGTAGTCTTAATCGTTTTAAAAACATGTGTGAAAGATCGTGGAGATAGCTCTGCTTGATTGCTAGAATCGAAAGAAGGATTTGATTAGTATGTATCGAGACACTCTTGTTAGCGGTTCACAGTGTAAACATTTTGGTCTACTTTAACAAATTATCGAATAATTTAAACCGCTCGATAGATTTTTTAAAAGAATTAAGATTCTTCTCGTAATTCAGACTGAGAATTAGTCAGCCACTTCTTCATTTTCAGACCCATTGTAGCCTGCGTAGCAAGCGTTTCCAGTCGAACTCGCGCGGAAACGCTTGCTATGCAGGCTATACCCATTGCTAAATGCTATCTGCCATACACCGTTCTTCGAATTGAGATGATTCTAGAAAGTTATGCGAAAGTTTATTTTAATCAATTCACAACTGGAAATAGCCCATTCCTGCTAGTGCAGTACAGTATAGTGACCAACAAAAAAAAGCTGCAAATATGTAAATTACTCACCACATGCTAGGCAACCACTGTAATGTAACTGGATTATTACGCCGACTTCAGGTTAATATTCAGGTCTTTAAAATAATTAAATAAACATGGAGACGTCTTTAAGAACTGGCTTTGCCCAAATTTTCTCTCGCTGCCCAAAAAATCTGAGTTGCCCAAAATTTGGGGGGGCTGCAGCCCCCCTCGCCCCCCCGGCCCGTACGCCTATGATCACGAAAGTGCCACTCTTACTTGACGCGCACCTAACTTTTACTGTTTCTTTGTAGGACGTAGATCAAATTAACACGACAGACTATGAGGGGCGGACACCAGTTATGTTGGCGGCGCAGTGCAACTCATACGCGACGGCTAAAGTCCTGCTGGAAAATAACGCTAATGTTGACGTCAGGGACTCGGAGAACAAAACTGTCTTGCACTACGCTATCGGAAGCTCCGACATCGTCAAGGAAATCTTAAAAGTAAGTGCGAGAGAGCCAGCAGGTGTAATTTATCAAAGTTAAAAACACAAGAACTTTTTAAGCAACGTACTTTAATAATTGTAAATTGTTGCGGGCGACAAGAGGGACCCACAATCCTAATCTCCAGGTTGTTATTACGCATGCGTCGCATGTATGTAGCCAGCATTCGTTTGGACTTCCACTAAGAATGAATGGAATGCACAGAATGCAATTTGATCACTCGCGTTTGCACCTTCTATCACTCGCAACCTGATCACGGGTGTTGTGACAATCTATCACGTGAAACTTACGCAAAGCACAGCGTTTGAGCAAAAGCGTTTTGACCTTCGATTTAGTTGTCGCCCGCACTCCGTAACCTTTGGTTATTACTAGTAAATATCTTATTATCCACACCCCTAAGGGCTCAGTTTTCAGGGATGATTTACAACACTGGTTCACTTGGGGGGCTTTGCCAGACTGCTTACGGTGCAGTTTATAAATAATGAAAGGATGAGTAATGATTCTTCCTATGTGAGTGTAAACTTGAGAAAGACCACCACATCGGAGTCTACTTCCCCTACTTTTTACGAAGAGTGTGTGGGTTCTTTAACGTCGTACAAAATATATTTTAATACCTAATCGCTTCTATTATCAACTACCCCTTTTCTTTTTATTAGGATGTCAAAGCTAATTCTCTCATTCGAGCCAAGGATCGACTTGGGAACACCCCTCTTCATTACGCAGCTTGTAAAGGCTGCGTGAAGGTTAGTTTTAACCCACATTTTAAATTTGTCTTGAAGTAATCAGTTCGGGGTTTAATGATCTATCTGGCAGATTTTTCATGTTTGAGTATCAATTTCATATTAGAGTCATACTACGAAAAATCCACTGACGCTTTCTAGTAAAGCCAGTACGCAGTAACATATCATCTCCCAGCGCAGCCAGATTAAAACGGCATTTATTGCAAATGTTATTGACATAAAAAGATTTTTTTTCCAGGATGCGTCCATTATTTTGATGAAATATAGAGCAGGGGCCACTATTACAAACGGTGCAGGAGAAACGCCATTGCACATTGCCGCAAGGTATACGAACAGCCCACGTTCGATATATTAAAATTCTAACATGACTCCAAGCCGGCTTTAAGGTAAAAATTGAGTAATGCTTTCCAGAGCTTTATCTCTAAAATAGAGGTGGCAACCGGACCATTTTTCCCAGCATTTTTTCCCAAAATTGTAAATATATCTGTTGCTTTTACAAGACTACTATATTTGATTGCTAGGTATGGCTGTATGTCCGTTGCTAAGAAAGTGATGGACGGGCGCGGCAAGAGAACTGTGAATGCAAATGATGTTTATGAGAGAACACCGCTTCATCTCGCATCACAGGAAGGCCACGATGAACTGGTAGAATTCTTCCTTAAAAAGGGAGCAAAAATTGACAGGTCAGCATGAATTGTCATCTCAACTTAGACTGAGCTGTTTCATAATACTATGGCTTAGGTGATTGACTTATTTTAATCTTTCGCTTCATGATGTGCACTATTTACTTTTACGGTACTTAATATGAGCTAAATTGGTCAGCTTCTCACTGTCTTTAGTACTATATCTGGCTGGTACACAGTAAAAGGAGGGCGACATTGGTGTGTGAAAAATACACACCGTAGACTTATTGCTACGTAATATCACAATAATACTGCAATATACAAGTTTTAATTCGAAAAGCGGTAATCTCCTTCTCGTTAATTCCCTATCACAGTTTTTCTTATGTTCATAAAATTTATATTCCAATAGTTAAGCGCTATTAAATCATAACTGAGAGCTACTGCGCATGCGTCTATCTTCACTTCTACTGCATTAATTCTCTCACTTACCTTTCAGTGATGTGCATGGCCAAACGCCGTTACATTATGCCGCTCTGCAAGGATCTAAACGATCAGCTGAATTGATCTTGGCCAGTAAGCCCGAAAGCTTAAATGTTACGGACAAGATACAGGTACGTAATAGATCAAATTGTAAGAATACCCAATGCTGGTAGAAAATTAGCTCTGAATTCGCGCTCTTGACTTACGGTTTTTTCCTAATCACTAGTCAGACGATTAGTACTGGTATTGCATGTATAGAATATAGAACCAAAGTGTAGTATTGTTGAATTCTAAACTGTAAATGCAACGGGCATATTGCAAAACTCTCTTTGTCCTAATGTACCTCAAACCCTTTACGGCTAGTCCAAGCGCACGACACAACGACGCAAAACTATACAGCGAAGACCTGCGTCGTTGGGTTAAAAATGCGTATTTCAAATACTTTACTGTAAAAACCAGTAACGCTAACATTATATTATTAGTCTTGGCCTGCTAAAGCGTCAGTTGTGCTTATAGCATGTGTAAAAATTCTCGTGTTTGTGTTTGCCTCATGTTCCCCCTCAGGGTGTAAATTGCACTTTATTTGCATTCATAGGAGGATTCTTTCATAAAGTTGAAGACATAATCAATACCTAGAGAATATGTTCGTTTGTTTGTATTTTTTCTTTTTTGACTGACGGCTTGGTTATCAGTTTAGCCGAACAAAGATTGATTTCTTTGGATTTGTTTGTTTGTCAGTTATCAGTTTTAATCGCTTGTAAAAATGCAAAAGCCAAAAATTGTCTTTTCGGAAGGTCTGTACGAACTAATCTGTGCACTTTCTTATTGCAGTTGAATTAATTTCACTTTTATTGTTCTCCTAGAACACAGCTCTCCACATGGCAGCCAAAGGAGGTCATGCCGAAGTCCTAAAATACCTTCTCTCTAAACCAGAACAGCTGGTTTCAGTAAACGAGAGAAACCAGAATATCTTGGATATTGCTATCGAGGCACGGCAGGAAGCCGTAGCGTTGGCGATAGTAGAACACAAAAGGTGGGAAAGAAGTTTAATTTCAAACAGTACCTTTGAAGACTGATTTTATAGAGAGACCAGCTTCTGTTTGCGACTTGTATACGTGGTTTCCTAAATTGACGCTATTGAGACTAACACCTCATCTCTCCTGTTATTAGAAAACGTGCCAATGAAACTTAAATTAATAAAATAGATTTGGCAAAATAATCCGAACGTTAAGTGTTTTCTACGTTACTCCAAATGGTCGCCATCTTGAATCCACCATAATTGAATTTAACCCGCCACTTTCGAAAATCAGGACAAAATTCAAGGTGCTAAAACAATTTCAGCAGTCTTGATGTTAATTTTCTGGTAGAGTTTGAAGAGACCACTAAATTAGCAAGCAAAAGAAAATCTGGATTTGCCGCCGTTCCCGACCAAGAACGACTAGGAGCTTTAAAGCAATGACAACGGCGACGGCTACGAAAACGTCAGTAAAAAAGTTTGTTCGCCCTGGTTCAAACTTCATCGCGTTTATTCCATCTCGTTAAATTCGTCAAATGTTGGCGAATTTGTCTGGAGTTAGATTCTAAAGGACTGTATCAAAGTTCAGGAAAAGCAACAGATGGTTGTTGTCTTCTGTTCGCGTCCTCCACAAAACGGGAGATCAGGCAGTTTCACGTCATAGTCGTGCAACGACGGCAAGGAAATGAACAAAAAAGCGTGATGTGCGTGCAAAAATTGTTGTTTTTGCCAATCTAAACCAATTGCTTTTTTGCCGTTCATGTTGCCGTCGCCGTTGTCGTTGCTTAAGCTTCCTTTTGCTCAAAAGTGACTTCAAGTCTCACTGGCGGCCATGGCGTATTATCGATCGCTCTTTTTAAGCACCTAAAAC